TTGTCCTCTAGTCTCCTGAGATCCTGGGTCCTTACCTCCCCGATTTCTCATGGATACTCATGTCCAGAGACCTATTGTATGCCATGCCTGCCTTCTCAGAAGAGCGGAGGTTAGATCATAGCCATGATTTGTGATTCTAGTAAATGCTGAAGGAAAATGATAGGAATATGATGACCACTAAATATTTCTTCCACATGTCATTGTTTTGTTTTTTGAGACAGAGTCTTGCTCTGTCGCCCAGGCTGGAGTATAGTGGCATGATCTCAGCCCACTGCAACCTCCACCTCCCTGGTTCATGCCATTCTCTTGCCTCAGCCTCTCAAGTAGCTGGGATTACAGGTGCCCGCCACCACACCCAGCTAATTTTTGTAGGTAGAGGCAGGGTTTCACCATGTTGGCCAGGCTGGTCTCAAACTCCTGACCTCAGGTGATCCTCCTGCCTTGGCCTCCCAAAGTGCTGGGATACAGGCGTGAGCCACTGTGCCCAGCCCCCATGTCATTATTTTAAATGGCTATATCAGATTTTATCTAATGAACATATATACATTATTTAATATTCTCATTGTTGGCCCTTCCATGAGTTCCAATTTTTTCTAGGTAAATATCCTTATAGGTAAGACTTATAAGAAATTCTTATTATTTCATTAGGATAACTTTCTAAAAATGGGATCTGTGGGCCAAAGGGCATGTAGATCTTTTGGGTTTTCATATAAATTGCCAATTTCTATTCCCACGAGAAGGGTATGAGAGTACTTGCTTCCCATGCCCTTTGCCGACAGCTACATTAGTTCTTAGGCCACAGTTTCTTTAATCATGAGTGTCAGAAGTTGCTGATCTTACATATAGCTCCCTACTATGTGTAAGATCTCTACCAGGAGATAGAGCAGAGAATTTGAACGCCCCCCACCGCCTTGTTTTTTTCTCAAGACAGGGTCTCACTTTGTTGCCCAGGCTGTAGTGCAGTGGCGTGATCACGGCTCACTGTAGCCTCAACCTCCCCAGGCTCATGTGCTCCTCCCATCTCAGCCTCCCAAGTAGTTGGGAATACAGGCATACACTACTGCATCCAGCTAATTTTTATTTTATTTTTTTGTAGATGTGGGGTTTCCTCATGTTGCACAGGCTGGTCTTGAACTCCTGAGCTCAAGGGATCCTTCCACCTCAGCCTCCTTTTAAAGCGCTGGGATTACCGGTGTGAGCCTCCACACCCGACCTCTATTTCTTTCTTGACTTGGGCTCCTCCTGTTCTGCTGCCTGTGACATCCTGGGAGGAAGCTGTTGTCCTTCCCCAGGTGGAGGAAATAGTAAACAGGCTAATAAATCGGTGGTGTGTACCACAGGACTTTATAAGAAACCTTTTACATCTTTGGATCTTCTACTAAATGAAGGTACAGCACTGCTTTTTGACACATAGGTACATCTGTATATTGGGCACATTTCCCTTCCACATGTTTAACGAAGATTTATTTGACAGCATGTACTAGATTCAAGACTCTAGGTTAGAGAATTCAAACCCCAAAAAACTTACAGTTGATAGGGATACAAAAATAAGATAGTGCAAAGCACGGCAGCTGTGAGCAGTGTAACCAGGGGCTTCTGAGGAGAAGCTTACATCAGAGGACTTGTTGAGCAGTTCCTCAATTCAGAATACCTTCACTTGTGCTGTCGTTATGGGTTGATGTGGCATCAAAGCACCAGGACTCACATAGCTCTGCGTTCATCCATCTGCTAACTATGTGGCTTTGGGTAAATTCCCTTTTCTGAGCCCTATTTCCTCACCTGTAAAAGCAGGATAAACTCATTTGCCTGTGATCATTGTGGGAACTAAATGTGAGAATAAAGGTCAAGGGTCTGGAGAAGCGCAGGGGTAGGCCGTCCACACAGGGAAGCGCGTCTTTTTAGCAGGTGCTCTCTCCATTTTGCAGGGGGTAAGGATCTGAGGTTCAATTTGCACAGTGCTGTGACATTTTTCAGAGCTTCCTCATATCTCATTTCACCCATTCTCCTGGTAGCTTTGATGTTTGCCAAGCAGGTGGTAGTCTCCCATTGCAAAAATAAAGCAATAGGTGCAGAGAGGTTGAGGGAATCGGAAAGATTAGACAACTAGTTAATGGAAAAAACAAAACTGAAAGATGGTATTTTTACTTACAAGTGTGAACTAGGACGCGTTTTCCAAAACAACTACATGAATTGTTCTTTTTTTCTTATTTTTATTTATTTATTTATTTATTTATTTATTTTTGAGACAGAGTCTCACTCTGTCACCCAGGCTGGAGTGCAGTGGCCCGCAATCTGGGCTCACTGTAACCTCTGCCGCCTTGGTTGAAGCGATTCTCCTGCCTTAGCCTCCCGAGTAGCTGAGATTACAGATGCCTGCCACCACACCCAGCTAATTTTTGTATTTTTAGTAGACATGAGGGTTCAACATCTTGGCCAGGCTGGTCTTGAACTCCTAACCTTGTGATCCACCCGCCTCAGCCTCCCAAAGTACTGGAATTACAGGCGTGAGCCACCATGCCCGGCCATATTGTTCTTTTTTTCTTTTTAAGATAGAGTTTTGCTTTTGTTGCCCAGGCTAGAGTGTAATGGCATGATCTCAGCTCACCACAACCTCCGTCTCCAGGGTTTAAGCAATTCTCCTGCCTCAGCCTCCTGCGTAGCTGGGATTACAGGGGCATGCCACCACACCTGGCTAATTTTGTATTTTTAGTAGAGACAGGGTTTCTCCATGTTGGTCAGCCTGGTCTCGAACCCCCAATCTCAGGTGATTCACCCACCTCAGCCTCCCAAAAGGCTGGGATTACAGGTATGAGCCACTGCACCTGGCCTCTTTTTTTCTAAATAGCTATTACCTTAGAGTTTTCTATTAATACCAATATTTTCTTACCATGTTACCTTGCAGCTTCATTATATTGTCAGCCAAACACAAACAGGCACACATACCTGCACACAAAATTTTACCTAAACCAAAAGTGAATTTGTTCATGTTTGACCTTATCCGCTCTCTCATATCTATCCTGAAGGATCTTCACCTGGATCCAAAATGTCCCTTTTGCCCATTGTTGCTTTTTAGCACAGATGGAACCCCTCCCCCTCTTTTTCCACTTGGCCTGAGCACATCAGGACAGCCCCTTTCCAAAAGAGCTGTTTCTGTTTGACCGTCGACAACCTCTTTCATCACTGAGCCTGAGACTGGCTGATCAAATGTGGGCCACTTGATCCAGGCCCTCCCTGTAAAGCCAAGAGGTCATCATCTCCCTTTGTCATTTACCAAGCATTAGAGACTTCCCCAGGACTGACCTCTCCGTGCAGCCCTGATTCCATAGGAAAGGAGGCCAGCTGATACGAAGCTGGATGTATAAGGTCAAATACTGGTGGTGGGGGGGTGGGTTGTATAATTCCTATAATTTACTGAATAGCTAATAATGTTCTTGACACTTGTGTTTCATTATCTGTCTCCTTTAATCTTCATGCTACGCTAGCCCCATTTCACAGACGAGGAAACTGAGGCTCAGAGATGTATATATGTTTCTTCTTTCATGTATTCTTTTTCAATAAGGGACCGCTTTCCTCCATGTCCCACCATTCTGTCTTAGCTGAGAAGTTAGGAGCAAGCAAGCATCAAGTCTCTCACATGCAGAATTTAATGAGTATTAAGAATATATGCTTTGTTGACCAAAATGTGTATCTTGCATTTATTATTTAATTCTGGCTGTGAGATATTTTTATTTGGTAAGAAAAATGATTATTTAAATGATAATTATTTGTACACATGTTTTCTGCCATGTTCCAATGAAGATTTAAGCAATTTCCTTCACTTGAATAAAACACGGGATCCTTATTGCTTGAGTGGGCCCATCCGTGTTTCCAATAGCCCATGTGTACAGTCAGCTGCCAGCTTCAGCTACCAGAGCCATGACCTGCCTTTTTCACTTTGGGGTTTTTCTTTTCCTGGTAAATTGACTTCATTCATCAGAAGCACAAATTAAATGTAAATTTCTGGATTTAAAAAGATTTCTTTGGTCCGTAAATGTTTCCAAAGTCAGAGTCCTGATTCAGCCTTCAATCTTCTTATTTCCTGAAAATAAAGATTAGGGATAGGAAAGGGTAGGAACAAACACATCTTATTCAGAAACAACAACATCATCAGTAAACAAATGTGGAAAAAGTGTCCATAGTCACAAATAATTAAAGTAATGCAAATTAAAGCAACAATGAGGTCTAATTTTTCACCTATCAAATTAGCGATACATTTTTTAAATGATACCATTCACAAGTCCCGTGAAACTGGTAATGCATCCATTGCTGGTAGTTGGTGTAAATTGGAAAGCAATTTGATAGAATGAATAAAAAGCCTTGAAAATGTTTATATCTGTTGACTTAATAATTTCATTCCTGGGGATTTCCATAAAAAGAAATAATACGAAAGAAAGAAAAACTGCAGTATTTATCACTGGCATTTTGAAAGTTAAAAAACAATGAAAAAGAATAGAAAGAATCCTAAATGCCCAATAGTAATGGAATATTGAATACGTGGTGTATTAAAGTATTGTATATCTGCTCAATGATATATGCATTCAGTAAAATTTTTGTGATGACTTTGTAGCAACATGAAAATGCTTATATTAGGAAAAAGCAGGATATAAAATTCTGCATGAGCTATGATTGCAAGTAATTTTTAAATGTCTGCATGTGGACAAAGTGAATATATAAAAATGAAAATAGCCATGGAAGAGAGTAGGATGAGCCATAATAATTGTTTTCCTCACTGTTGGGAATTATTATGTTAATGTTTATAATTTAACATGGATGGTTTTGGTTTCTCTAGTTCTTGAAAGTCAAAGAGCCAGGTTAGCGCCCCATTCCTTCCATCTTCATCAGGAGGACAGGTTCAGAATGTCACGGAGAGAGTCACATGGCAGGCCTCTCCGTTGTAGGGTGAGAGGGAGCACAGGTGCCAGAACTCCACTGCAAACCCCCCACCATCCTTGTCCCTGCAGGACATTGCCGAGAATGGCTGCGCCCCCACCCCCGAGGAGCAGCTGCCGAAGACTGCACCGTCCTCACTGGTGGAGGCCAAGGACCCCAAGCTCCGAGAAGACCGGCGGCCAATCACAGTCCACTTTGGACAGGTGTGTACCCTGCCCTCCTAGGTGTCCATTTTGGTTTTTCGGATTTTCATTTTTAGCAGCAGCTGTAGCACATGCAGCAGTCGGTTTCACATTTCAGTTCTCTTTGGCAGTGCAGCTCCATGGAGGTTTTCACATCTTTAAATGTTTATTTGGTGTAAACACATTTTGGAGGCAAATTTTAAAAACTTGGAGGAGACAGCATGGCTGAGGTCATAAATGAGCGGGATGTTGAATGAAGTCATTAGATGCACTGATGCCTCCCCTACGCCAAGGCACTCTGCTTAAGGTGCCTCTGTTAGCTAAGCATCTCATTAGAACACTTTAGCATCCCGGGCCCTTCTTTGCACCTTCAAATAAAAGGCAACAAGCGAAGTCTTAAAAAAAAAAAATCAATTAGGAGTTCTTTATTAATGTACTTCCTGAAAATCAATATCAGGAGTTGTGCTTCTGAGAGTAAACACTCGTGCTACAATTTTACAGATTCAATTCTTTAAATAACTGTTTTCAACAACCTAAGCTTTGAAAAATTATCTGTTTTTATCCCTTAAGTAAAACATTGCACTCTGTATAGAAACTAAAATTTTTTATCCCCTTCCTACTTGTAGTTATATTTTTGGTTGAAAAAGATTGTGTACCCTTTCCTACATATCTTGAATTGACTTTTGGTTAGTGAAAGTCGTCATTTGGAGGGATTTATGAGAAATGGCTCTTTTAGCAAGATGTGGCTATAACAAGAATTTGCAGGGTTATTTATTTTTAAATCACCTGATTCTGTAGCCATTTATTAGATGATGCATGATTCAAAGTCTTCATGGTTTTTATCTTAAATGTGATTGCTATTTCACTATCTGTAAAGAACCTAGAAGCCTACGTTCCTGTTTTGAACAGACCTTTATCCGGGGCCTACTATGCACCAGCCATTGAGCTATTCAGAAATGAAGGGAACTAACAGAATTCTTGCTCTAGGTTATTACTGTAAGGGGCGAGTTGGTTGGAACAGAAAAGCCACTCTTCTCTAATCAATATTTTCAGATAATATACGTTTATACATCTTTAACTTGGGGAGGTTCACCCCTTTTCTGATTTTATACTTAAAAGAATGTTGTAAAAATTGAGATGAAATGCAAGAAAGAATCCACAGGGTGATACTCATTTAGTTAATGAGTATTTTCAAATTGCACTGTGTCTGCACCCCTGAAGAGCTGCCTCCCCCAGCCCCAGGCTCAGGCCCCGTTGGAGAAATCTGCACCCCAGTTCCCTGGCTGTGTTTGCTGAAAGCACAGCCCCTGGTTGTCACCAGCGTGGCATTCCAGAGTCAGCTTCCTGCTTTCCTTTGTCCTCATTCCTGCACACACTAACCTTCCCATGAAAGGAGCCCCTCACTGGAGTTTGGAGCCCATTACAGAGAAAGAGGGGGCGGGGGAGAGGGATTTCATGGTGTTAAACATTCCATTTTCGAAACACACAAAAAAAGGAGGCCCTATTTGAAATGGAGAAAGACCCTCTTTCCATTTCAGCCAGAAGTAGAGATTCTTTAATGTCATTCCCAGCTAAATGCAGAATAAGAGTATGTGTGTGTGCACGGGTGGGGGATAAACAATTAAAAAAGCCACCCCAAACTCTGTTGAAATAAGAGCTGTCTGTGCCTTCACAGGTCTGCAAACTGGAGAGGATGAAAGTGGCTTTTTTTCCCCGTTTGTCACTTCCCTCACGTGGCTGCCAGCATTATGCAAGTGTACAGGAAGGCAGGATTTTTTTTTTTTAATGCATGCATGCGGATTAAGGTCAAGCCCCTAGTATCAGCCATGCAGCGGGCTCTCCCTTCCAGCTGCAGCCACAGAGCCTACCCACAGCCGCGAGATGCCTTAATTGAGACGTGCTGTCAAAGTGACAAACACATTTGCATACAGTCTACACTCTATTTATTTCCTCTGGAAAGGTCTACAGTCTGCTGTTGGTTGAACATTCTTAATCAGTTTGCTGTAAGTGAACTGCCAGCTAGCTCAGTTGTGCCGGCCCCTTCTTCATTAGGTGACAGATTAGCTGCAGGGGGAGTGGGGGTTGCGCCAGGGAAACCACGGACCCCTTTCTTTTAACTCTTTGCAGCTTTGCCTTCATGGTAGGTTGTCCTTGAGTCTTTTCCTGGGTCTCTGATTTGATGGGCTGTTGACCGTAACGGGTAGCGTTTCTAGAGCACCTGCTACCGGCAGGCATGAGTTGTAAGGACTTGATATTCTTCCCAAAGAACAGCCTCGAGTTTCATTTCAAAAATTTTTACCACATTCTGTTACCATCTATACTGTTATTTTTACTTGATAGTTTTCTGTAAACAAGACTCAGACCAGACATCTACACCAAGCTTAGCCTCATCTTCAGAGATGCCGTTGGTAAAATTATAGGTTTGATATACTAGTCCAAGTTTTTTCTAACATACGAAACAATTTTAAGTATTCATCTGTGGATCACCTAAAGCACTTATGTAGCCCTAGTGGTGTATATTCTCTCTTTTTGGAAACCAACAGACTCCTCAGTATCTTTTTTTGTTGTCTCCGCCATATCCCTTTGAGGAAGGGACCATTAGCCCCATTTTACTGACCCCAAGCTGGAGTCAGAATCATGAAGGAACCTGCCCAGGCCACTTCACCAGCTTAGAAACCCAAGCCCGGACAGCCCACCTCAAGTCCACCCCAGCTCTCAAACCAGGCAGGGACTGCAGCAGTGTGATACATCTGTTAACGCTGCTGTGCCCTACCCTGGGCAAAATCATCTTAACCAATCAGAGAAAGCACCTATTTTAACCTCAAAAAAATCCTTACCTTGGATCTGTGTTTCTGTGGATTTCATTCTTTAAGAACGCCTAGCTTGCCAGTGGGGATGGAGACTGTTGAGATTGTTGCCTTCATGTCTCCACCTTGCAAAGCCGGTGCCTGTGCAGCCAGCCAGGGCAGCTCCACAGAGACCTCTGACAGCAGCTCCGCAGCGGGGGCTGGTGAGAGGCGAGCTTAGTGTCGAGGCAAGAGCTGCTACCGCTGGGGGAGAGAAGGTGCTGCCTTGCCCTCTGTCCCAGTGGAGTTCCTCCTTCCAGGCTGTGACCATTCCTCCACTTCAGCATGCATCCATTCATCTATCTGTTGAGACCTACCATGTCTAAGATAAATAAGTTCTCAGTCCCCACCGTTTTGAGACATAATGATAAGACAGACCAGCAGACGGACAGGCCCAATTGGAGCAATAAAGACAACGAGGGAAGAGGGCTCCAAGCGCTCCCAGGGCCCCACAGAGGCTCCCTCTTTCTCCAGGTCCGCTGCATAGTCATAGTTAGTCCACTTCAGAGTCCCAAGTCGGACCATAATTAAAAGATATTTTGTCAATAGCCTGACCAACATGGTGAAACCCCGTCTCTACTGAAAATACAAAAATTAGCCAGGTGTCATGGTGTACACCTGTAATACCAGCAGGCAGGAGAATCGCTTTAACCCAGGAGGCAGAGGTTGCAGAGAGCCGAGATCGCACCACTGAACTCCAGGCTGGGCGACAGAGTGAGACCCTGTCTCAAAACAAAAAAGATATTTTGTCAACAAACTGAACTCCTAATAATTCATTTGGTTTCTAAAGCAGACGTATGTTGGGTCGCTCAGCTTGTAAGGAGGAAAGTAAATAGATTTTTAGTTAGCCTCTGCCTCCTGATCACCTAGTTTCTTTAAGAATTCAAAAGTATCAACTTGAGAATGCTTGTTCCTGCCTTCGAAGATGTTACAGTTTAGAGAGGCTTTAAATTACTATCTTCCCCTAATCAAGTTTAGTGTCTTCGGGGAAACAAAGCCCAGGGGACAGTCAAATGAGATGGAAGTGCCAGCCGTGTTTATTGATAAGCCTAAAAGGAGAATATTGCATCAGACCTGAGGCCAAATGTTGCAAACGCTTCACCTGAAAATGTGAAGACTGCGTTTCTCCAGGCAGGTCTCGCCAGGGTGGAGCTGCCCATAAACTCCTAGCAAGGAGGAGCTGAGGGAGGGCCTTGCACTGGCTGCTCCCCAGGAGGGGTGATGGAGCTCAGTTCCTTCTCCCAGACTCCCCAGGAAGGCATTCCTCCTCCTCCTCCTCCTCCTCCTCTGGGCAGGACTGAGCAAGAGGGTGCCAGGCCAAGTCAAGGATTCCCCCCTGGTTTTCTCTCCTAGGGGAGGAAATGGAAGCTCCCTCCTTCCCAGGGCTGTAGAAGGAGTGAGGGAGTCGTGTCCTCCCCAGCAGCCCTGGGCACCCCTTGGTTATAATAGCTGGCCTTGATCCTCTTCCCTCCCGACGCCCCCTGTGGAAACTCCTCTGCTCCCTACATTTAATAAGATGGGCAAGTCATAGATGCTTTCAAACCCGTGGGCACTGACTTGAGACTTTGCCATCAGCAGGCAAGGAAGAAGGCGTTTGACTCATGGTACACATGAGGAGGCACGCTGGGACAGCATTGCTGGAATGAGTAGCTAATTCCTCCTCCAAAGCCAACAACAGCAGCACCTCTGCTTCTCTTGGCCATGTGCAGCTCTCCCACCTTTCTGGGAGAATGGCCTGATTGTGTCAGTTCATTGACACTGGACCCTAGTCTAAGGTGCAGATGGCCAAGGCTCTAAGCCTTGGCCAAGACTGAGGCTTCCCTGACAATATCACAGCAAACCCCTTCCAGGGCCCCCTTCTTATGTTTCCTCCAAATGATAGATCCTGCAAACAAAGTAGCTGCCTGCCTTCCAATCTGATAGATTCCAAAAAGCATGTGTTGAAAGGCGCTGCCTCTGTTCTCCCATCTGAGGAAAGGATTCTAAATTTCTTTAATGTAAAGTTTGAAAAGCTGGTTAAACCAAAACCAAAACCAAGCACCACTGTGGCTTCCAGGGAACTGCAGCAGAGAGGTCTGGATAGCAGCCCCACGAATAGCTCTTGGGATGTGGTTGCCAGCTTATCTGTGCGTATGGAGAATTCTGGCATCAGGGGCATGAGCCAGGTCATTTAGT